CGGCCAAAGGAGGTGTTGGCTTTGGGAATGACCAGTGAGATATACCTGCTGGAGCGTAGACTACGGGTGGGTGCTGCTATGGTGACCAATGAGCTAAGATAAGGCGGGGATTTGCCTAGCAGTGATTTATAGATGGCCTGGAGCCAGTGGGTTTGACGACGAACATGTAGTGAGGACCAGCCAACAAGAGCGTACAGGTCACAGTGGTGGGTAGTGTATGGGGCTTTGGAGACAAAACGGATGGCACTGTGATAGACTACATCCAATTTGCTGAGTAGAGTGTTGGAGGCTATTTTGTAAATTACATCGCCGAAGTCAAGGATCGGTAGGATAGTCAGTTTTACGAGGGCATGTTTGGCAGCATGAGTGAAGGAGGCTTTATTGCGAAATAGGAAGCCGATTCTAGATTTAACTTTGGATTGGAGATTCTTTATGTGAGTCTGGAAGTTGAGTTTACAGTCTAACCAGACACCTAGGTATTTGTAGTTGTCCACATACTCTAGGTCAGACCCGTCGAGAGTGGTGATTCTAGTCGGGTGGGCGGGTGCCAGCAGCGTTCGATTGAAAAGCATGCATTTAGTTTTACTAGTGTTTAAGAGCAGTTGGAGGCTACTGAAGGATTGTTGTATGGCATTGAAGCTCGTTTGGAGGTTTGTTAACACAGTGTCCAATGAAGGGCCAGATGTATACAAAATGGTGTCGTCTGCGTAGAGGTGGATCAGAGAGTCACCAGCAGCAAGAGCGACATCATTGATATACACGGAGAAAAGTGTCGGCCCAAGAATTGAACCCTGTGGCACCCCCATAGAGACTGCCATAGGTCCAGACAACAGGCCCTCCGATTTGACACACTGAACTCTATCTGAGAAGTAGTTGGTGAACCAGGCGAGGCAGTCATTTGAGAAACCAAGGCTATAAGGCAGGGTTGTACTCTCCGAATGTTGTAGAGCATGAACCTACAGGATCGGGTCACCGCCTTGATGTTAGCAGAGAACGACAGGGTGTTGTCCAGAGTCACGCCAAGGCTCTTCGCACTCTGGGAGGAGGACACAACGGAGTTGTCAACCGTGATGGTGAGATCATGGAACGGGCAGTCCTTCCCCGGGAGGAAGAGCAGCTCCGTCTTGCCGAGGTGCAGCTTGAGGTGGTGATCCGTCATCCACACTGATATGTCTGCCAGACATGCAGAGATGCAATTCACCACCTGGTTATCAGAAGGGGGAAAGAAGATTAGTTGTGTATCGTATCAGGTCTAGAAGGACAAGAGCAGAGAAGAGAGAGTTAGCTTTAGCAGTGCGGAGAGCCTCCGTGACACAGAGAAGAGCAGTCTCAGTTGAATGACCAGTCTTGAAACCTGACTGGTTTGGATCAAGAAGGTCATTCTAAGAGAGATAGCAAGAGAGTTGGCTAAAGACGGCACGCTCAAGAGTTTTGGAGAGAAAAGAAAGAAGGGATACTGGTCTGTAGTTGTTGACATCAGAGGGATCGAGTGTTGGTTTTTTGAGAAGGGGTGCAACTCTCGCTCTCTTGAAGACGGAAGGGACATAGCCAGCGGTCAAGGATGAGTAGATGAGCGAGGTGAGGTAAGGGAGAAGGTCTGGAGAAGAGAGGAGGGGATAGGGTCAAGCGGGCAGGTTGTTGGGCGGCCGGCCTTCACAAGTCGCAAGATTTTATCTGGAGAGAAAGAGGGGAGAAAGATGTCAAAGCATAGGGTAGGGCAGTGTGAGCAGGACCAGCAGTGTCATTTGACTTAACAAACGATGATTGGATGTCGTCAAGCTTCTTTTCAAAATGGTTGACGAAGTCATCCACAGAGAGGGGGGAGGGGGAGGAGGATTCAGCAGGGAGGAGAAGGTGGCAAAGAGCTTTCTAGGGTTAGAGGCAGATGCTTGGAATTTAGAGTGGTAGAAAGTGGCTTTAGCAGCAGAAACAGATGAAGAAAATGTAGAGAAGAGGGAGTGAAAAGATGCCAGGTCCGCAGGGAGTCTAGTTTTCCTCCATTTCCGCTCGGCTGCCCGGAGCCCTGTTCTGTGAGCTCGGAATGAGTCATCAAGCCACGGAGCAGGAGGGGAGGACCGAGCCGGCCGGGAGGATAGGGGACATAGAGAGTCAAAGGATGCAGAAAGGGAGGAGAGGAGGGTTGAGGAGGCAGAATCAGGAGATTGGAGGGAGAAGGATTGAGCAGAGGAAGAGATGATAGGATGGAAGAGGAGAGAGTAGCGGGAGAGAGAGAGCGAAGGTTGCGACGGCGCATTACCATCTGAGTATGGGCAGAGTGAGTAGTGTTGGAGGAGAGCGAGAGAGAAAAGGATACAAAGTAGTGGTCGGAGACATGGAGGGGAGTTGCAGTGAGATTAGTAGAAGAACAGCATCTAGTAAAGATGAGGTCAAGCGTATTGCCTGCCTTGTGAGTAGGGGGGGAACGGTGAGAGGGTGAGGTCAAAAGAGGAGAGGACTGGAAAGAAGGAGGCAGAGAGAAATGAGTCAAAGGTAGACATAGGGAGGTTGAAGTCACCCAGAACTGTGAGGGGTGAGCCATCCCCTGGAAAGGAACTTATCAAGGCGTCAAGCTCATTGATGAACTCTCCAAGGGAACCTGGAGGGCGATAAATGACAAGGATGTTAAGCTTGAATGGGCTAGTGACTGTGACAGCATGGAATTCAAATGAGGAGATAGACAGATGGGTCAGGGGAAAAAGAGAATGTCCACTTGGGAGAGATGAGGATTCCTGTGCCACCACCCCGCTGACCAGATGCTCTCGGGGTATGCGAGAACACATGGTCAGACGAGGAGAGAGCAGTAGGAGTAGCAGTGTTTTCAGTGGTAATCCATGTTTCCGTCAGCGCCAAGAAGTCGAGGGACTGGAGGGTAGCATAGGCTGAGATAAACTCTGCCTTGTTGGCAGCAGAACGGCAGTTCCAGAGGCTGCCTGAGACCTGGAACTCCATGTGGGTGGTGCGTGCAGGACCACCAGGTTAGAGAGGCAGCAGCCATGTGGTGTGAGGCGTTTTGTATAGCCTGTGCGGAGAGGAGAGAACAGGGATAGACAGACACATAGTTGACAGGCTACAGAAAATGTCTACAATAATGCAAAGGAGATCGGAATGAAATGAACTAAACATCTGGGAAAGGAGAGAGCGGGGCCTCCCTCACTTACGTTTCACTGAAACACCCAAATATAACTCTCCCAACTTCCACCTCAAACTATAATTGTTGTAAACTACAGCGGTTCAATGTTTTCTAGGAATAGACTAACTTAGTTTATTCAGCTAGCTAACTTGGTACAGTATTCTTCCGTGAAAATCGTCCAGGGCACCTAGTCATATGACGCCACAGCCAACTAGCATGCCAGACTCCAACAACACGGTTTAGCACCAATACTCGGCCACAACAAACCACCAGTGTGTCAACACGCCAAGCAGATCATTCGTGTCCGTGTCTAACGTTGTGGGTTAGTCCCGACAGCTTGAGCAAGTCCGTTGTCAACTTATTCAGCCAGTTAGTTAGCTAGAATAGTTAGCATACTAGCTAGCCATTACTTTCAGACCGAAGAAACCCCTCCTCCCACGGCACGAACACACAGAGAGAGCCAAGCTAACGTTAACTAGTCACAAATGTCCTGAATTCCCTTGAACGACTCTGGCTACCAGTATGTAAAAACAAAACACAAATATAGGTTATAACTTACCCCTAGTAGCTACTGTTAGCTAGCCAAGTGCAAAGCTAGCCACTGAATTGACTCAGCCAGTTCGCGTCTGTTCGCTAGGTCGTTCCAGCTATTGTTTAGTAGCTATCCAGGTAGCAACAAGCTAGCTAAATTTCAAGCACAGTAGCCACTAACGCTTCAGACAATGAGGTTAGAAAAACAGCTGAATGGTAGGCATTATTGTATGTAATTATTGTAGGCAGCTAGCTGGCTTAATTACAGGTACTCTCAGGCGTGAAACAACTATCCACAGTTGCTAATAGTTACCAGTAGCTACCCGCTAGCTAGTGCAGGTAGTGGGTTAGCTAGATTCGTGCTTCACCGGGCTCAGCCGAATATAATACTAACCTACAATAATTACATACAACAACCCACGATAACTACCTACAATACCTAACTACAATCTAAATACATAGTTTAAGCTTTACTCGACAAAGCCCAAACTATGTATATAAGCCATATAAGCTAAGCTTACCGCCCGCCAGAGAGAGACACAACCTCACCCGACAACGACGACTCTTCACATGTTTTGAGGGAGCATGCAGTTGGCATGGTGACTGCAAGAATGTCAACCAGAGCTGTTGCCAGATAATTGAATGTTCATTTCTCTACCAATGTCGTTTTAGTGAATTTGGCAGTACGTCCAAACGGCCTCACAACCACAGACCACGTGTAACCACGCCAGCTCAGGACCTCAACATCTGGCTTCTTCACCTGCCACCCAGACAGCTGATGAAACTGTGGGTTTGCACAACCAAATAATTTCTGCGCAAACTCTCAGAAATCATCTCAGGGAAGCTCATCTGCATGTAGCAAGGATCTGTACACAATTCCTGGAATCTGAAAATGTCCCCGTTCTTCCAAGGCCTGAATACTCACCAGACATGTCACCCATTGAGCATGTTTGGGATGCTCTGGATCGACGTGTGCAACGGCGTGTTCCAGTTCCCGCCAATATCCAGCAACTTTGCACAGCCATTGATGTGGAGTGGGGCAATATTGACTGATTGCCTTATAAACTGTAACTAAGTAGAATCTTTGAAATTGTTGCATGTTGCGTTTATATTTTTGTTCAGTGTAAAAGCTATAGGCAAACAGGCAATTCACAGAAACAATTGCTCTGTGAAATCCCCAGAACATTTGAATTATTACCTAAAGCTGCAAGGTGACATCTCAATCAGCTCATTGGAAGAGTTTATTAGAATATTTTATTTAAATATTTTTACTTTTCTATGTCATGTTCTTTTTTTATTTTTCATACATTATTTTTTGTAACATTCGAGTGTCAAAGATAGCAAAAATGTTAAACTTCTAGGGTCCTGTCATGAAGGATGGAGAAGGTTTGGCTCCAGATGTTACTATCTCTCTACTGAGAATAAATCCTGGACTGAGAGTAGACAGGACTGTCTGGAGAGAGGAGCAGACCTGGTGATCATTAACAGTGAAGAGGAACAGGTGAGAGACAGAGACAGAGAGAACTACTGTATTTATTTGTCCATCATGTATTATTAACAATGCTTTTTCTGTGCCACCACAACAGGCATTCATCAATGGGTTTGAATCAGTCCATTATGTCTGGATTGGTCTGACTCACTCTGTTACTGAGGGGACCTGGAAATGGGTGGACGGCACCCCACTGACCACCCCAAGGTAAGAGACTACTGCTCTATAATAACACTGACCACCCCAAGGTAAGAGACTACTGCTCTAATAACACTGACCACCCCAAGGTAAGAGACTACTGCAATAACACTGACCACAGTGTAAGGAGTAGGACTGATTCTCTGTGTTGTTCATACTCTAGGTTCTGAGAGAGGCCAGTCTAACTCTGTTGTTTCTACTGCAGCTATTGGGGGAGTGGAGAGCCTGGTGGTGGTGGAGTGGAGAACTGTGTGGAAATCTCTTACCTGTCATCAGGCCAAAGAGTATGGAGGGATTATAAGTGTTCATTTCCACAACAATGGATCTGTGAGAAATAAGCTTCTCATAGGTAATTTCTCTGCACTGCTGATTAATCTACTTTATGTTAATGATGGTCTGAAGACTGGTGTGATTTGGTAGAATGGTACTCTGAACTACAGGTAGGAGACAAACACACATTCAGACGTGCACACACACACACACACACACACACGCTGATCTGAACCTGAGTCTCCAACGGGAGAAAACAACCTCTTAGTTAGAGGAAATTCCCTTTTGGGCCGAGACACTGATTTTGAAGTTGCAGGCGGGGCTACTTCATCACGTGACCATGAGCAACCAATCATGACCAACACATGTCCTCTACACAAGCTGACACACAATCATTTATTAATATGTCAAACAATGAGTTGTATAATAGGGGTATATCATTCAATAGCCGCTGTCAATCAATTACTGTTAAGTTTTACAGTACTAAATACATTTGAAATGACTGTATATGTTTCAGATATACTGTATGTTTGCTTCTTGTGCTTTTATCATACAGAACATAAACAATGTCTACGTCCTGCTATTTTAATAAATCATTTAACCCAGATTAAAGACACTTCCTGTCTAGTACATTATTGTTCTGTACTCTGTTTTATCTAACATGATATCTAGAAGGACAAGACACCTCTCTGCTTTATACTTGATCTAATATTAACATAGATTTTAGAAGGACAAGACACCTCTGTTTTGTACTTTATTTAATATTCACATGGAATCTAGAAGGACAAGAAACCTGTTTTATACTTTATTTAATATTCACATGGAATCTAGAAGGACAAGACACCTCTCTGTTTTATCTAACATGATATCTAGAAGGACCAGACACCTCTCTGTTTTATCTAACATGATATCTAGAAGGACCAGACACCTCTCTGTTTTATCTAACATGATATCTAGAAGGACCAGACACCTCTCTGTTTTATCTAACATGATATCTAGAAGGACCAGACACCTCTCTGTTTTATCTAACATGATATCTAGAAGGACCAGACACCTCTCTGTTTTATCTAACATGATATCTAGAAGGACCAGACACCTCTCTGTTTTATCTAACATGATATCTAGAAGGACAAGACACCTCTTTGTTTTTTTCAAAAATATATCTAGAAGGACAAGACACCTTGTTTCTAAAATGATTCTAGAAGGACCAGACACCTCTTGTTTTATAAAAATGATAAACAGAAGGGGCAAAAACCTCTTGTTTTTATTTTTTATTTAATTTTAACATGGGGAAACTAGAAGGACAAGCACTTCGTTTTATACTTTTTTTAAATTAAAATGATATTAGAAGGCCCGACACCTCTCTGTTTTACAAAATTTAATTTCTAGAAGGACAAGACACCTCCCCTGTTTTATTAACATGATATTAGAAGGAAAACCCGACACCTCTCTGCCCTTTTTCTTTAAAATGATATCTAGAAGGAACAAGACACCTCTTTGTTTTTTTACTTTATCTAATATTAAAAATGAATTTGAAGGACCCGGGAAACCCCTCTTTTTTTTTCTAACCCGATATCAGAAGGACCAGACACCTCTCTGTTTTATCTAAAAATGATTTTATTAAAAAGGACCCCGACACCCCCTTGTTTTATCTAACATGATATCTGAAGGAAAAGACACCCCTTGTTTTTTACTTGATCTAAATTAAAAAAGGAAAAATTTGAAGGACCAGACACCTTTTTGTTTTTTTTTTTGATCTAATATTAAATTTAATTAGAAGGACAAGACCCTCTTGTTTTTATACTTGATCTAATATTTAAAATGGGAAACTAAAAAAGGAAAAAGACACCTCTCTGTTTTACTTGATCAAATATTAACCCTCGGAAACTAGAAGGAAACCCGGGCACCTTCGTTTTTATTGATCTTTAAAATTAACATGTATCTAGGGAAGGGCCAAGGGCACCTCTCTGTTTTATAATTTACCCAAATTTAAAATGGAATCTTGGGAAAAGGGCAAGAAACCCCTCTGTTTTTTAACTTGTCAATATTAACATGATTTTCTAGAAGGGCCGACACCTCTCTGTTTTATTTTCTTGATCTAATGTTAACCTGGAAATTGGGACAAGACCCCCTCTCTGTTTCCATTTTAAATCATATCTTTTTAACCTCTTTGCGGTGACATCACCAGAATGAAGGGTTGGGTCATAAATAACCATCAGTTATGAAAACAGTGTCTATGATTTTGTTACTAAACTAACTGGGACTAATCATTGACTACAGTAGGACAGGTGGCAATGACCTCCAGATATCAGAGAGACAGCCTTAGGCATGGTGTGTGTGAGATTCATGTATGATTCATGTAAAAGTATATACATCAGTGGAGGCTGCTGAGGGGAGGACGGCTAGTAATAACGGCTGGAACAGAGCAAGTAGAATGGCAAACACATAGAAACCATGGGTTTGATACCAATTCTGCCAAGAGTGTGCAAAGCTGTCATCAAGGCAAAGGGTGGCTATTTGAAGAATTTCAAATATAAAATATGTATATATATGTTTTTATTTTTTTAACAGTGTTTTGGTTACTAGATGATTCCATATGTGTTATTTAATGGTTTTGATGTCTTCACTATTATTCTACAATGTAAAAAATAAGATAAACCCTTGAATGAGTAGGTGTCCAAACTTTTGACTGGTACTGTACATTGTTACTGTTGTTGGTTAGATAGCAAATTTTACCCATATACAGTGAGGGAAAAAAGTATTTGATCATTCTGCTGATGTAGTACGTTTGCCCACTGACAAAGAAATGATCAGTCTATAATTTTAATGGTAGGTTTATTTGAACAGTGAGAGACAGAATAACAAAATAATCCAGAAAAACGCATGTCAAAAATGTTATAAATTGATTTGCATTTTAATGAGGGAAATAAGTAGTTGACCCCCTCTCAATCAGAAAGATTTCTGGCTCCCAGGTGTCTTTTATACAGGTAACGAGCTGAGATTAGGAGTACACTCTTAAAGGGAGTGCTCCTAATATCATCTTGTTACCTATATAAAAGACACCTGTCCACAGAAGCAATCAATCAATCAGATTCCAAACTCTCCACCATGGCCAAGACCAAAGAGCTCTCCAAGGATGTCAGGGACAAGATTGTAGACCTACACAAGGCTGGAATGGGCAACAAGACCATCGCCAAGGAGCTTGGTGAGAAGGTGACAACAGTTGGTGCGATTATTCACAAATGGAAGAAACACAAAATAACTGTCAATCTCCCTTGGCCTGGGGCTCCATGCAAGATCTCAACTCGTGGAGTTGCAATGATCATGAGAATGGTGTGGAATCAGCCCAGAACTACATGGGAGGATCTTGTCAATGATCTCAAGGCAGCTGGGACCATAGTCACCAAGAAAACAATTGGTAACACACTACGCCGTGAAGGACTGAAATCTTGCAGCGCCCGCAAGGTCCCCCTGGTCAAGAAAGCACATATACAGGCCTGTCTGAAGTTTGCCAATGAACATCTGAATGATTCAGAGGAGAACTGGGTGAAAGTCTTGTGATCAGATGAGACCAAAATCGAGCTCTTTGGCATCAACTCAACTCACTGTGTTTGGAGGAGGAGGAATGCTGCATATGACCCCAAGAACACCATCCCCAATTTCAAACATGGAGGTGGAAACATTATGCTTTGGGGGTGTTTTTCTGCTAAGGGGACAGGACAACTTCACTGCATCAAAGGACGATGGACAGGGCTATGTACTGTCAAATCTTGGGTGAGAACCTCCTTCCCTCAGCCAGGGCATTGAAAATGGGTCGTGGATGGGTATTCCAGCATGACGATGACCCAAAACAGCCTCAACCTTAATGACTTGGAGAAGATCTGCAAAGAGGAGTGGGACAAAATCCCTCCTGAGATGTGTGCAAACCTGGTGGCCAACTACAAGAATCGTCTGACCTCTGATTGCCAACAAAGGTTTTGCCACCAAGTACTTAGTCATGTTTTTTAGAGGGGTCAAATACTTATTTCCCTCAAAAATGCAAATCAATTAACATTTTTGACATGTTTTTCTGGATTTTTTGGTTGTTATTCATTGTTCAAATAAACCTACCATTAAAATTAGACTGATCATGTCTTTGTCAGTGGGCAAACGTACAAAATCAGCAGGGGATCAAATACTTTTTTCCCTCACTGTAAGTTGACGTGAAGTCAATCAAAACACCTCAAAACAAGACACAGTATGAATAACAAGATGAAACAAGCCACTTACAATTCCCCACATGGCAGTTTCTTGTAATTCTTACTAGCAATCTGGCCATCCAGAATCACAGCCACTTTTATATTCCCCAGCAAGAAAACCAAATAACGTAGATCAAATAGAAGGGGAACTAACAAAGAGTCACTGACCACAACCAAAAAGAAAACCAGTGCTTTTTAGGAGGGGTTCTGAAAAACATTCATGGAGATGTCCACTGGAAGTTGACTAGCAACAACAACTGGAAGAAAAGAAAACCCTTTTTGCTCCAAAAAGTGGAGCAAAATGAAATCAGGGAAGATCAGACAAAGGGATGTTTTCTAGATCTCAAATAGAGAGAGACATCTAAAGGTGTTTACTCTCAACACAACTGAAGTGCTGGGCCAGCCACTCTTAAAAATCACCTGGGCCAACACCTTCAAATAACGAGATGGACAAGCCAGCACAGGTGTAACACCTACTGACTAACAAGGTGACACCAATCGGTGCGCCCCACATGCTAAATGAGCTAACGTCTAACCTCAAAATAGAAATGGAAAAACCAAAGCCTGTAACACCTTCCCACTTAAAACAACAAATATCTTATATTTGTTGGACAAGTTTGCTCACAACCAACAGAAAGTAACTTCCATCTCACAATATGATCAACTTAAATGTGTCGCCTCCTTCAAAAGAAACAAGACAAAACAGCCACTTTTTTTTTGTATAATCTTTTATATTTTTTGTATATATAGTTGCCTAAAACAGAGGTAAAATCATGTACATTTCTATAACTCTCAATCAAAACATAACTCATCTCCAAAACAGCAAA